GTTGCTGGCATTTCAATGACGGATCGAAGGTTGGCTATGTTGGCGGCAGGTTCAATGGTTCTAAGGTCGGCTATGGCAGCGTTACTCCTCGTCTTCCTCCTGTTTCTAACTGTCGTCTTGTCGTTCCATCATCCTTCTGGACATGGCAGTTTCTTGGCCGGTTCTTGTCATCACCACCTTCGTCCATCCACTCCTTCTCCTGCTCCTTCGCCCGCTTCTCCTCCTCCTCCTCCTGTACCGCCTCCCACTCCTCCTCCGCTCCTCCTCCGCCAAACAACGTTACAAAGATTCCGCCATGGCCATCTCCTACGAAAAAAAAAGAAAAAAGACCCGCCAAGTGGCTCCTGTACCTCCTCCCGCTCCTCCTACCCGCCCTATCGCCACCTCTCCCCTCCACGATCATCGTCACAGTGTGCACGTACCCCACACTCTTGACCGCGACCGATGCCCCGCGCTCCTAACCAAACCCGCATCCCCATCACCTCGCGTCTTGGCGGTGCCGTGTCAGGCCCGGCCATGTGACAGGCGCTAGGAAAAAAAAATAAAAAGGTAAAAAAACTGTTTACACCGCGAAATAAATCGGAGCAGCAATTCTATGCATTTTCCATTTTTGCCACTCCCCTGGTTCTCCCCACTGTGCTACCCGTAGACCTCTTGAACCTGTGCTACCGGTCCCCCTGAATTTTGGACAGTGGGGGTAGTGGTGGTTTAAGAGACAAACACCCATCCCAAACACGCAACTCTCACAGAATATGTTCATAAACCAGCAGTAACACCCTACCACCCACGCAGCAGGGGCTGAAGACCACACAAACCCACCCGCCTCCTCACAATGTAGGGTATACCACTCCACCTATCCATGCCAATTTCCTACGAGACCCCACCGCCCACCATGATGGGTAGCTGAAGAGCAACACTCTCTCGTCTGTCTCACAGCTGAATCCGCAAACCGCGAGTAGCAACAATCTTAGCAAACGAAAAGAGCAAGAAGAACCTTGAAGAAGATCAAGGCTCCAATGATGGTGGAACCATGAACATGTTGCCTACGATTGAACGAATTCCCCAAAAACGAGCGAGACACCCAGCACAAAGAGCAACTAAAATTCTCCCCTACAACGGCCAGGGAGCACTGAAACCCACCAAATCCAACCAATACAAGAAAAATCAGGAAGGGCCAAACTGCAAATTGCCCACAATTACTACCGGTAGTATCCAAAGGAAAAGCTAACACATTGCACAGCACTACAAACAATCAAAATTCTCGCCTAAAAACGGTGAGAAAACATGGAAATCCTGCCAACTCACACAACCAAAATTTGCACAAACTTCACGAAGTCTCGTCCATCCAATCTACATCCGCTTTCATTCCAATAGAAAGCAGGCAAAGATTACAAAGGGCTCCATCAGGACTCTCTAAAGCGGATGTCGACTGCTCGGAAGCCCTCGCTGCTGACCCAATCGTCAGATTCGTCACTTGCAGATGTTGACCCCAATGAAGCCCTCGCTGCTGACCAATCACGCTCGCGCCGCTGTCCAGTTATGCTTCCCCACAGTCCGCTGCCCCCGACTGCTCAGAAGCGCAATAACCCCACGACCTTTCCGTATCAAAGACCGAGGACCAAAGCCCCCAATCAGTTCCATCAGGTGTATCACAGCGTTCATATCCCGCCACTCTCCGTTCCATCTTTCTTTTTTTTTGTTTTTAAGACAATGCTCCACAATATTCGTGGGGAGCAGCACGTGCTGGGAACCGGGGCCCGCGTCCCATTTGAAAACATATTGAGACTCCGTTCACATCAAACCTTTTTTTCTGCCTTTGTTTTTCAACACTAACATTTGACAAAGTTGATGCTCACATTGGTTTCCTCCATGTATTCCCCCAAAAAATGAGACAACTATTTTAGTATTTTTCCGTTGCTGTTCTTCCAGAATTCTTCGCACGAAACATTCTCCAGACCAATTTTTTATTCTCTTTTCGTCTGGTAATGCATCTCATGTTTTGGGGTGTGTAATTGAAAATGAAGCGAAACACACACACATACACACACACACGAACACACACACACACACACACACACACACACACACACACACACACACAATCAGTTTTGTGTACGTCTTTCTCTGTGTTCTCTGTGCCTTTTTCTAAGTACTTTTTTCCTGTCCAAGCGAGCACCTCTAAGCAGTGCCAAATAGTCGGTCACTCCTCACTTGGAGTGCCTGTAAAACTCTTAGGGGGGCTGGTCAGTTCAGTATGTCTGTGTTTCCTGCAGGTGATGACGGATGTTCGTGTGAGTGACTCCCTGGCTCAGCGGGTGGTGGGAACCAACAGTCTGCGGGGTTCCCTCGTGATGTGAGTAGGCGATGTGCTGCTTTGCTCCGTGTTGAATGTATAAACTGCCTCGTCTGCGCTCCGCCGTTTCCTTTCTCCCCGTCCCGCTTGCTTTGCATGCCGTTCTTTGCAAGTCGCTGTGCTAACTGTGTGGTGTGACTGTGGTGTTGGTGTTGCCCTGTGCTTCGCTGCGCAGCTGCCTTGCTGCCCATTCGCGTGCCTTGCTTGTGTGCCATGCAGTGTGGCTGCTGTGTTGGCGTTGTGTTACATGCACAGATATGTGATGTTCGTAATAACCGAGGAACTGCAGTGTGATAAAAAGGACTGAAATGGACAATGCGGTGAGAGTAGAATCTCAACAGACAATGTGCATTCTCATACATACAAAAGTGCTGAATAGCGCAGGGAAGACTTAGATACAAAGACTGACCTGACAAGGACTGACCTTACACACGTAGTAGCAAGGAGCGAAACCTGTCTCTTATACACATCTAGATGTGTATAAGAGACAGGTACTAACCTGTGATGTGGCGCTGTGCTGCAGGTACCTCGAAGACGAAGCTGGAGCAACGGCGCTGCAGGTAGGTACTCCTGGCCTCCGCCCAAGCTCTCTCTCTCTCTCTCTACCACTATCCTAGCTATGGCGCCCAGCGCTGGAGACTACAGCTACCTACTGCGCCCAGCGCTGAAGACTACAAGATAATGCTACTACTACTATAATGCAGCGCTCCCTCCAGAGTGCTGCTCCCGAATCCTGAAGACTACAACTGCCCAACTGCCTTTTTCCTGCAGGGCGGGCCAGTCCTTTATAGTGCTGGCCCGTGCCGGAGGCTGGCCGTGCCAATGCCCTATGCGTAGGAGGCCGCTCTTGCCAATGCCTCCCTGGCCTAGACCCTGCGGAAGCTTCCAGGCAAGAGCCTGGAAGTTTCCCTGTAGGGAAACAGGCTGGGGCCTGTAGGCCCTGTCAGAAGGAAGCTTCCAGGCAAGAGCCTGGAAGTTTCCCTGTAGGGAAACAGGCTGGGGCCTGTAGGCCCTGTCAGAAGGAAGCTTCCAGGCAAGAGCCTGGAAGTTTCCCTGTAGGGAAACAGGCTGGGGCCTGTAGGCCCTGTCAGAAGGAAGCTTCCAGGCAAGAGCCTGGAAGTTTCCCTGTAGGGAAACAGGTTGGGGCCTGTACAGCATGTAACACGTTGCCTCACGCTTTGCTGCGCTGTTGCCGTGCTGCTCGTCCGCTTTCCCTGTTGTTCCTTGCAGTCGTTTTTGGCATAGTTGGGTTGCTTCGGCAGCATCGCCTGGTGCTTCGCTGAGTTGTTGCCTGTTGCTGTGTTCCACGGGTGGACAGTCTGCCTTCAACAATCGTCGTCAAAGGGTTCATGACCCACACCATCAATGGGCCTCACTGCACTACTCTTGAAATGTGCAAAACGAGAGTGAATCTTACACTACAATATGGAAAGATACGCCGCCAATATTTTTGCCTTTTGTGCATGTCGAGAGTAGTGCAGCGAGGCCCAATACCGGGATTCCCCAGATTGTCGAGGGTTCAGCCTCCTGATGTGAGTCGGTGCAACTCCGACAAAACAATCTCCCATCATCGCATTTTGTTTCTTTCGGTCTTGGCATTTCTTCGGACTTGTACGTTTTTTTTCTGGTTTGCCGGTTTTGTGTTACTTGTGTGTCTTCTGCCCTCCCACCTCTCCCGTGCCCTCCAACCTTTGTCCTTCGCAGCACTTGCGTGTCTTCTGCCCTCCCGCCTCTCCCGTGCCCTCCAACCTTTGTCCTTCGCAGCTGTCTGTCGGCCTGTGCCTTGTTGGTTGTCTTTTGTTCTTGTCTTTTTTGGTTGGCTGCCCCATGTTGTTTGTCTGCCCACCCGCCTCGCAAGTGCCCCCCAGCCTATGTGCATCGTTGCTGCCTGTCGTCCAATGCCTACCTTCTTCCCCCGAATACAACGTACGGTCATTATAGCTGTATTTAGACCGAAAGATACCCCAAAAGGGCCCAAATACAGCTATATAATGACCGTACATTGTTTTCAGGGGAAGACGCTAGTTGCCACCCTGCCTCGCCATTCATTGTCTTTTGCTCTCTCCCTTATCGCCACGGACGTCTGATTACTTGAGTTGGGTCTCCTCATGGTTCTCTGCCTGTCTCTTATACACATCTAGATGTGTATAAGAGACAGCAGCTATATAATGACCGTACATTGTTTTCAGGGGAAGACGCTAGTTGCCACCCTGCCTCGCCATTCATTGTCTTTTGCTCTCTCCCTTATCGCCACGGACGTCTGATTACTTGAGTTGGGTCTCCTCATGGTTCTCTGCGGGCATCTGGTCGCCAGTTCTTTCAATTAGCATATCTTTCTTTCTTTCTTTATTTATTTATTTTCTTTTCTTCTCTTTCTTCCCTTCCCCCCCAGCCCCGATTAGCATATCTTGAACACTTGGTTATGAGACAACCTGTTTGGTGGGCAAAGACGTTATTATGTTTTGCTGCATACTGTGGGTAGCTGTGCGCACACAGACACACTTCCAATCAGGTCACCACCAGACCCATGTATGCACACACCCATGTACACACGTGCAAGCATGCACTTGGTCCCATCATCAGGAGAGTGGGAGGCAGGCAAAAGGGAGAATTCGACCATGAAGAGAGGGGGTGATGGCAAGTCTGAGACGGGAAAAACTTATTACCACGCGCAGGACGTGTGTACTCTTAGTTACTCTTCTCCTGGGAAAACAACCAAATAAAATGAGGACCCAGAAAGAACAGCAAAATGATGTCTTCCTAAGCAACAACACAATCCATCCATCCATCCACCCATCCATCCGATACTCAATCAATCATTGAATCCGCCACCAACCAACCAAACCGGGTTGCCCAGTTGATGGATTGATCCACCAATCAAACAGTCAATCAATCGATCTGTTGGTCAATCAGTCAATCAATCAATCTGTTCGTCAATCCATCCATCCATCAATCAATCAACCAATCAACCAATCAGCCAGTCAACGAATCCAGCAACCAATTGACCAACCAACCAACCAACCAACCAACCAATCAATCAATCAATCAATCAATCAATCAATCAATCAATCAATTCATCGATCCATCCATCCATCCATCAACGAATCAATCTATCAACCGATCAACCAACCAATCAACCAACCAACCAACCAACCAACCAATCAATCAATCAATCAATCAATCAATCAATCAATCAACCAATCAACCAATCCATCCATTAATCCATCAATTGACTTACTAATCTACTTATCAATCCCCCGATGCATCAGTCCATCAAGCCATCGATGCCATTGATCGACCCAACCCTCGATCCATCAGTTCATCAAATTTATCCATCCATCAAACAATCAATCAGCCTTCTCATAGATGTAAACCATAAAGCATTTCCCAAAGAATGTCCGCAATTTTTTGATTGACCAATCTGCACTTAGTCACGAACTTGCTGTTGCCCTGCCTCTCAGAAGTCGCTCGCCTTTTCAGAAGCCCGATACCTACTCCTCTTCCCACCCTTGTCCTTGCTGGCATTCCTGTGGCCATAGCCTCCCCTTCCTCCCCCTTTCACCAATGCGGCCGCACGCTTTCTTTGCTTCTCTAATCTCTTGGGACTTGCCCCAACTTCCTGGACAACCCCTCGGCCGACCTCATCTCTGTCCCGCTCGCCCGCCGCTTCTAGACGTCCTCCTGCTCTACTACTACCACCCTCCTCCCCTCCTCCCTCTCCGTCTTCACCCGACTCTGACTGTGACTCTGAACCCACACTGCCCTCCCTTCTGCTATCGAGCTCGCTAACCTCCTGCCCAGCTGCTTTTGTTGACTCCCCCCCTCCTCCTCCTCCTCCTCCTCCTCCTCCTCCTCCTCCTCCTCCTCCTCTTCTTCTTCTTGATCCCATGTTCGAATCCTCAACATCTCTATCCTCCTGCTGCTGCTTCTCATCTTCTGCTGCATCAGACACACGCTGAGAACGCACAGAATCTGCTTCTTCTTCTTCCTCTTCTACACCTCCAGCATGGCGGTGCCTTCGTCCATTCGTCGTTTTCAAGCCATGTGCTCGTGGGAATGCATTATTAGCTTCAGCAGCACCGTGATCCGTCGCTGTTGCCATGCTCATTGCCTTCATTCGGTCTGCGATAAGCTCTTCATCAGCCGCCACGTGGCCATTCACATCGCCAGTTTGGCGTTCAGATCGCTGTACCTGTGCCCTGTTGGCTTCGTCTTCGTAATGCACCAGACCATGACCTGCTCCTCCATGTCCACCGCCTCGGCCATAGCCACCTTCACCAGCACTAGCAGCATCGTCCTCGCCTTTGCTGAATTTCCCCTCCTCCTCCTCCTCATCATCATCATCATCATCATCGTCATCATCAGCATGGGCCTCGCCATAGGACTCCAAAGCCAGCTGCTTCTCTCGTGTGAACCCGCTGGCCGCCAGCTCCTTGTCCAAGGCTCCCAGCTTGCCTGCAATCCTGTCGAAGTCTGGACGTCCATCGATCCAGATCCCATCGTCATCATCACCCTCCTCCCCTGCGCACTTGCCATTGTCTTCTTGCCTTCCTCGCTCACAACCCTCCTCCTCCTCCTCCTCCTCCTCCTCCTCCTCCTCTCCCTCTCCCTCTTCCTCCACACCCTCCTCATCATCATCATCATAATCATCATCATCATCTTCACCTGAGCTGGCAACCCCACTCCAATCTTGCTCCTCGACGCTACCGCTCTTTGATCTTCCTCTTGCTTTTGCTCTTCTCTGGGCGAGAGTCCCTCCTTCTCCTCCCCCCTCCGTCTCGATCGGCGTGTAATTAAACCGTTTTCGAAAGAATCTATGGATGCATTCCACGTCGCGATCGAAATACATCTTCGCATTGCGGTGCGAGATGGAGACCATCTGCGGGAAGTCTATCATTGTGACCTTATGTTTCTGGTCGACAATCAGGTTAAATTCGTTGAAGTCGCAATGAATCAACCCGTGCTTTGCCAGCTCAGCAATCAAGCGCAGAGCCTCCCTGAACACCACTTCCGGATGACGTAGCACCCTAATCTGTACAAGAGGGTACCCCTTAACCATGGTCATCAACACACAGTGCCGATTACACTCGATCGCCGTTGGGACTGGGAACCCATGTTCCCCTAGTGCCTTCATGAAGGCGAACTCCTTGAGAGCTGCCAGCCTCGACAGATAAAGCCAGCTGTAACTCTGGCGATGGCGGAGGTAATCTCGCTTGGACTTAACTGCTCGGAACGAAGTCCTCCCCAGTCGATGCAGCTTCAACACCAAAGTGTCGCCGTCTTCATTGGTTACCTCGAAGATGTCAGACTCCTTTCCAACGCCGATCTGACGACCAACAGCGGTAATTAGGCCGCGATTGACGAGCACCTTGATGGCCAGATAATCATAGCCAAGGTAGGTCAGCCGGTAGCCATCGTACTTGGAGCTGTCGTGATGAACGAGCTTGTGGCGAAGAAGACTCTTCATGTTCTTGAAAGCACCCCCTCTCTTCAGTCCAGCGATTCTGTCAATTAGTTCCGATGGCACAATTTCATGATTCTTCATGCCCATCTCCACAGCAGTCAACACTCGAAACTCTTCTTTCGAAAGGTACCTCAGCATGTTCGCGTCGAGCTTCATCGTCACTCCCTTTCCTTCTCTCTCTCTCTCTCTCTCTCTCTCTCTCTCTCTCTCTCTCTCTCTCTCTCTCTCTCTCTCTCTCT